TGAAGAACTTTAAAATGGAACTTTGTAAGCTGGCTAAAACCCCAATGAGCCAGGAGTTTAGCCACAGTGATGTGCAAAGTCCTGTTTTTGATAAGAACATTTATCAGTCCTTGATTGGTAACTTATCTCCCAAAGGAGAGAATGTTAGGAATGATAGTCACCTAACAGTTGGGTTGGCAATATATAAACCAGGATAGTTATTTAATACTGTTGTATCTTTAAGAGAGTGCTTTAATTGTGATTGGCTGAGGTTCCTCCAATGACAATAAGATGGAGCCAGAAATCTGGTTTGTTCTCTACTTGCATTTCCCTATTGTCTGTTGCCTGATCGTCATTCTGCTTGGATTGCTGTGAGTCTTGCAAACTGTTAGCAAACACCATTTACTGAACTTTGTTTATGATACAGGACTTCGTTTTTGGATTATCCCTGGACTGATTGTATTGAATACTACCTGCTTTAACCGTGTATGATTTGGACTGTTTGTTGGACTTTGTTTACCCATTTACTGGAAGTAAAACCTACATTTTACTAACCAGTGTATGCTGGTTGTGTCTTATTCCTCACCACTCTCACTATGTTTCCCTGAGTGCACTCATTTCCTAACGGGGAATACCTCAACAGCCTCTTATCATTGCAATGCAATGAAGATTCAGTCTTCATGTTCTATTATGTCCTTGGCTACTTGGGCTTCCTGGCTGCCATCTGCTTCATGGTGGCTTTCCTAGCCCAAAGGCAGCTTCAACGAAACCCAGGCAGCTTGAACGAAGCCAAGCTGATCACCTTCAGCATGTACTCTTCTGCAATGTTTGGGTTTATTTTGTCCCTACCTACCTGAGCACTAAAGGGAAATATAGGGTGGCTGTGCAGATCTTCTTCATCCTGACTTCCAGCCTGGACTTACTCAGCTGCATCTTTGTCCCCAAATGTTACATCATCATTTTGAGACCTGGCATGAATATGAAGGAGCATCTAATGATGAAAAACAATGTCAGTTCTTGATTTTGACAGGTTTTTTATCCCAATTATTGCTAAGATAAAATAAGACATTGCAAACCTTTTGTTATTTGTTCTAAAAATTCTTTCTCTCATGTGATTAATGTTACTATCAATAAATAGCATAGGGTTATTGATGTTTCTTCCACCAATTTAAAACTATATTATTTGTCTTCTTCTAAACTACACTTCTTTAATATTCATTCAGCATGCAAAATGAATAAATAAGAAGTGAGCATACAGTCTTGTCTCACTTCGTTACTGACCTGGAATCACTCTGTTTAATTCTGTGTTTTTCAAAGACGGGCTTCAAGTCCTTGTGTAGGTTTTTTTTTTTTCTTATAAGGACATTGAGATATTGTAGGATTCTCATTTCTTGAAAACATTCCATAATTCAATATAATTTGTTTTAATTATTCATTTATTATAAAAGATTAATATGGCTTCCTATCTTAAAGTAACTCAGGTCCTTCTCAACTAATTTCTCAAGAACTTTGCAGTGTATTCCTCCTCCTTGTATCAATAATGTAGTCATGTATATAGATGTCAGCTTTGTTATTTCAGGACATTACCAATGAAGCAATTGTTCTCCCATTCCATATCTCCTTTGGTCCTATAAGTACATTTTCCTCCTTGCTCTTTCCTGTTTTGACATTCCAGCCTTCAAAAATAATGCTCAATCTTGCTTATGTATTCAATTTCAAATCAAACTTGACCATAAAACTCATCTACCTTCTCTTCTGCATGTATGTTTGGGGCATAATCATCACTCATCACAATCCTCATCACAAATAGCCTTGAGCAGAGGGATGGTACAGAGGGGAAGAAGCTAGTTTGGGATAGGGGGTGAGAGATCTGGCTCAGGAACACATAGACAACATAGGGTTTAGGTATGGAAGTGGAAAAAAGAGGGAAAGAAAAAAATGAAAGAATTTTGAAACTAGGAGGGTATGAACCATCCCACGCAGTTCATTCAGCAAATAAATACTCCTGGGGCAGTTTCATTTTCCAAGAGTACAATTTACTGAGGTGGCATGGATGTGGAAGTAGCAAAGCAATTTCTGATGGTGGCGCACACAAATAGCATAATTACACATCCCCTTTTCCTCAGTTCACCCACAGTCATTTTTTCCCCTTCATTTTGTTTGGGTAATGGATTCTCTTGTCTAGTAAACTTTCCCAGCATTTGACCTTGAGGTGCTGGCATAGCTGCAGGCTTCGAGATGGTGCTCTTGCATTCCTTTGGGGAGAGGGCCTCCCTTACATTTGCCATCTTATGGGAGCTAGAAAACATGTGTTTTCCATGGCAATCCCTGTTCTATGGAATACTTCACTTGAAGTTTGACAGGCCCCCACCTTCCTAGCTTTCCAAAAAGCATGAGACCTGATAAAGTGAGATTGATGAGAGTTTTTTGTTATGAACTGCTTATTAAAGCTTATTTTGGGGGAAGGTTTTTACTATTGGTAGGTCTAATAGATAGATGAATGCATTAATTGTACAATTATGCTATTTTAATTGTTGGTTGGGAGTCACCCAGAGTTCAGTATAAGATGGATGGCCATATAAATATAATAAACAAGCAAACAAATAAAGTTGTATTATAATACTATGAACTTTAGTGTTTCAAGAATAAGTTATATTAAGTAAAGACCAAACTTTCCTAAATTATTCCCTGCTTGATTCTTAAAATGAAATGATGCCCAGGAGTCTCACAAAGTCATTTTTCCAGCTGTGCATCCACAGATAAAGTTTTTATAAATTAGTTGTAATTCTGTTAACTTATAATTATCACAATAACAGTAATTTATTCTGCCTTCACAAGTACGTTTGTGATTCCTCTCTCTTCCCCAGAATGCCTTTCTGAGAAATAGTTGCTAACTGCTGATATTCAGAACTTGAAAATGTGTTTCATAAGTACCACCCACTCTGCAGAGAAGGGAGAGAAAGGAAGGCCCATGCCTGTTTGAAATATGTAGCTCCTTTCAAATCTGGTGCTGGACTTCATTTTTTATAAAGTAATGCAGTTCTGCTCTTTGACAAGGTTTTTTTTTGCCTCTAATGAGGCACCAACTCTGACATTAAGAACAGGAGTCTCTGTGTCCATTTATAGCAAGTGCTTTTATTATGGGATATATCATGGGATATCAAGTGTTACTGATTCTGTTTCTACTGATATCCCATTTTCCTTATGGGATGCTGAAAACCAGATGCCCCTTGAATGTGGTAAGAGAGGAAAAATGCAATTTCTACAAGCCAGGAGATTACCTGATTAGTGGAATCATATCTACAGTCTGCACTCTATTTCATCCATATGTTTTTGTCATGCCGCCAACCAACAGGTTCAAGAGGTAATTCTTGTGGTGTGCTTGACTATGGGGATTGACTTTGTCCTCTCCAATTCATGTAGGAAATAATCCAAATTTGCTAGTTCATAGCCTTCCTCAAACAGGTCATTTTTTTTCTCTCCATTTTGATTTAGGAATAAAGCATTTGAATCATATAATGCACTTTCAAGGATTTCTGCTTTCTTTCTTTCTTTCTGTCTGTCTGTCTATATCTACCTACCTACTATCCTATGTATCTTTAAATTTCCTATTTAAGTTGGGGTTACTTAAAAAAATTGTCAAGGAAGATGGAAGCTCAGCAGGTCCCAGGAATATGTTGTGCTAAAATAAGGGAAGTAGGTGAGTGGTTGGAAATATGAAATATGAATGAGTGACAGAGTCACCCCCTTCAGTTTTGCAAGAAAATTATATTGAATTGAATGCAAGTTCTTGTCAAGGAAAGAGCATTTTATCATAGACCACACCTACAATACTGCACCCAGTTTTAGTCACCACACTATAATAAAGATGTTGAGACTCTTGAAAAAGTGCAGAGAAGAGCAATGAAGATGATTAGGGACTGGAGGCTAAAACATATGAAGAAAGATTACAGGAACTGGGCCTGGCTAGTCTAGTGAAGAGAAAGACCAGGGGAGACATGATAGCAGTGTTCCAATAGTTGAGGGGCTGCCACAGAGAGGAAGGGGTCAAACTATTCTCCAAAGCATCTGTAGGCCAGACAAGGAATAATGGATGGAAACTGAATAAAGAGAAATTTAACCTAGAAATAAGGAGAAGTTTTCTGACAGTGAGAGCAATCAACCAATCAAACAGCTTGCCTCCAGAAGTCATGGGAGCTTCATCACTGGAGGCTTTCAAGAAGTCAGAAATGGTGTAGGATCTCCTGCTTGGGTGGAGGGTTGGATTAGATGACCTACAAGGTCCCTTCCAACTCTGTTAATATGTTAATCATAGAAGCAGAATAATGTACAGAAAAAGCTTCTGATGCTCTAGAGCTGACAATTATAAAGAAATAAGGTAATGCTATGATGCAACAAAGCATTCTACTACTTTTGGTTTGCTTTATTTATACTCAGCTTCAACCAGTTTGAATATTTAAGGCAATAAAAAAGAAATAAAATGGCAAATAGAAGCTTATTTGCATGATGATTCCAATAGCTGGCTGGATAGTTTCCCTTTGCCTTTATCATAAATGTGTTTATTTTGCTGGAAAAGTTCTTTTCGTGTTCTCTCCCTAACTCATAATTTTGAAGAGGGAAAACCAGCTTTGGGGCTTTCTCTGAGGATCATTTTGCATGACATAAAGAACATTTCTTTCTCTTCTCTCTTTGGGGCAGAAGCCCCACTGATGTCAAGAAGATCCTACTTCTAACAGAGCCATCCAGAGAAGTCTACACCTAGAAGAGTGTGGAATGCTGTTTTTTTTTTGTAACAGAACAAGCAATCATTGACTGAAAACACTTTCTTATACAGCAGTGTAGCAAGGAAAAATACTGATACTGTCCTATCCTTCTTTGCCATAATTATTCCATTGAAGTTTTAGGCTGTAATTTCTGGGTTTTCTGTGTAGAGTTCTCAGATTGAAATCTAGTTGAATGTTTGAAAGTGGCCTAAGGGACAACCTTCAGTAAATATCACATTGATGTATCTTATGTTGCAGTATGCCATCTGCAAGTTACTGGCATGTTTTGCCCTTCTTCTTTGCCATTCATGAAATCAACCAGAATCCAAGACTCTTACCCAACATCACTCTGGGTTACAACATCTATGAAAATTATTTTAATGAAAGAATAACCCATGAAGCCATGATAGATTTACTCTCCATGGGCCAAAAGACTGTCCCAAACTACAGGTGTGGAAGGCAAAACATTTTGTTGGCTGTTCTGGAAGAGACAGATTCTGAGCTCTTTCATTATGTTGCAGCTATGTTGGGCACCTACAAGATCCCGCAGGTATGAATATAAATTGAAGCTAAGTCCACTTTGCAAATTTTCCAAATGTGTCCAGAAGCAGATCTTGGTGGATATCATGAAGTAAATCTAGAGGCAGTTGTCAGATATTGAACGCTTAAAAGACTTTTGCCATTTTAAGTATTTATTAGTTCATCAAAACATAAAATATAATGAAAAAGACAATAATAGGAAAGTAAAGGAGGAAAAATAGGAAAAAAGGATAGGGGAAAAGGGGAAAAAAAAAGAAAAGCATTGGCTTCCAATTAATTTTAGCACAGTAGAATAAAAGATACAGGTGAAACTCAATAAATTAGAATATTGTGCAAAAGTTCATTTATTTCAGTAATGCAACTTAAAAGGTGAACCTAATATATGAGATAGACTCATTACATGCAAGCCATGTAATGTTCAAGCCATGATGTGACATAATTGAGATGATTATGGCTTACAGCTCATGAAAACTCCAAATCCACAATCTCAGAAAATTAGAATATTGTGAAAAGGTTCAATATTATAAGCTCAAAGTGTCCCACTCTAATCAGCTAGTTAAGCCATAACAACTGCAAAGGGTTCCTAAGCCTTTAAATGGTCTCTCAGTCTGGTTCAGTAGGAATGACAATCATGGGAAAGACTGCTGACCTGACAGTTGTGCAGAAAACCACCATTAGCACCCTCCATTAGGAGGGAAAGCCTCAAAAGGCAATTGCAAAAGAAGTTGGATGTTCCCAAAGTGCTGCATCAAAGCACATTAATAGAAAGTTATGTGGAAGGGAAAGGTGTGGAAGAAAAAGGTGCACAAACACCAGGGATGACCGCAGCCTGGAGAGGATTGTCAGGAAAAGGCCATTCAAAAGTGTTGGGGACTTTCATAAGGAGTGGACTGGGGCTGGAGTCAGTGCATCAAGAGCCACCACACACAGACAGATCCTGGACCTGGGCTTCAAATGTCATATTCCTCTTGTCAAGCCACTCCTGAACAACAAACACCGTCACAAGTGTCTCACCTGGGCTAAAGAAAAACAGAACTGGTCTGTTGCTGAGTGGTCCAACGTCCTCTTTTCTGATGAGAGCAACTTTTGCATCTCATTTGGAAACCAAGGACCCAGAGTCTGGAGAAGAATGGAGAGGCACACGCTGCAAGATGCTTGAAGTGCAGTGTGAAGTTTCCACAGTCTGTGTTGATTTGGGGAGCGATGTCATCTGCTGGTGTTGGTCCGCTGTGCTTCATTAAGTCCAGGGTCAATGCAGTTGTCTACCAGGAGATTTTGGAGCACTTCATGCTTCCTTCTGCAGACAAGCTTTATGGGGATGCTGACTTCATTTTCCAGCAGGACATGGCACTTACCCACACTGCCAAAAGCACCAAAACCTGGTTCAATGATCATGGGATTACTGTGCTTGATTGGACAGAAAACTCACCTGGCCTGAACCCCATAGAGAATGTATGGGGCATTGCCAAGAGAAAGATGAGAGACATGAGACCGAACAATGCAGAAGAGCTGAAGGCTGTTATTGAAGCATCCTGGTCTTCCATAACACCTCAGCAGTGCCATAGGCTGATAGCTTCCATGCCACGCTGCATTGAGGCAGTAATTGCTGCATACGGGGCCCAAACTAAGTACTGAGTACATATGCATGCTTATACTTTTCAGAGGTCCAATATTATTCAATGTACAATCCTTGTTTTATTGATTGCATGTATATATTCTAATTTTCTGAGATTGTGGATTTGGGGTTTTCATGAGCTGTAAGCCATAATCATTACAATTATAAATCACAGCTCAAACTATTGTGCTTTGCATGTAATGAGTCTATCTCATATATTAGTTTCACCTTTTAAGTTGCATTACTAAAATAAATGAACTTTTGCATGATATTCTAATTTTTTGAGTTTCACCTGTACAGCCTTAACTTTTTTGCTTTTACATGGTAATATATACTAGTCATTTTTTTATTACAACAAACATATCTAATCAGCAAAACCCAATGTTTAATTTTTTTCCACCTCAAGCACAAAGTCCAGGAATGGTTTCCAAAACAAAGAAACAAAGTTAGCTGTATTTTTTCTTTATTTAAAGCAGTCAGTTTACCTATCTCTGTTAGTTCCATCAAAAAGGTTAAAAGACTTGTAAGAATTTTTGTTTTCATGTTTTCACATTTTTCTTTTCATCTGCTTGGCACTTATGTATGATGTGGTTTTAAAACAAAACCAAAATAAACTGAAAGAGGATGTAAAGAAAGGGAGACGCTTGCAAGAGAGCGAAAAGAATTACATCACAGAGTGCTCCAGAAGTAAAGGAAATGTGAAATTTGAAAAAGAATGTTTGATAGAATGATGAAGTGAAAAAGGGCAAGAATGAAAAAATACAGATAAGAGAAGGGTTGCTACAAAAAGTGATAAAAGATGTGCATTTGGTACATTGTCATAAAGAAAGAATGAATTGGAATCAAATTGCAAAAAAAATATTGAAGAAAGGATGAAGGAAGGGTTGGAAGCAGAGGTTGTATTCAGCAGGTTCTGACCAGTTCTGGAGAACCGGTAGTGGAACATTTGAGTAGTTTGGAGAACCAGCAAAAACCACCTCTGACTGGCCCACCCCAATCTATTCTCTGCCTCTCAAGTCCCAACTGATTGGCTGGGTCTTCTTTTGGTGCCTTGCACAAGAGAACAGAGACGGAAAGCAGGTTAGTGGGGTGGGGTGGGAATGGGGATTTTTCAGTATCCTTCCCCTGCCATGCCCACCAAGCCACACCCACCAAGCCATGCCACGCCCACATAACCAGTAGTAAATATTTTTGAATCCCACCACTGGTTGAAAGGAATGGGAAGACCAAGATAATTTAACCTTGGTTGAATGAGTTGATAACACATGGAAAAGAAATATAGTAAGTGAAAAATTTAAAGAACAAAATGCAAGGTGTGAAGAGGTTTATGAACATGTGGAAAGAAGGATAATTTCTAAGGGTACCAAATAGGGATAGATGTAATGAGTGGAATTGGTGTGATGTACATTTTATTAGGGTCTCTTTTTTAATATAGTTTTTTTAGGTTTTTAAAAAAATCTTACAAATTATTATTCTGTTTCATTGCTTTGCATAATGAACTTATCCAGAAAAAGAATAGTGCACGTATGCATGTATAAATTTATGTAAGTATAAAACCAATGCCCCCGCTTCTTGATACTGAACTGGATTTGGTCTTAAAATAGCAATAGCAATAGCACTTAGGCTTATTTACTGCTTCACAGTGCTTTACAGCCCTCTCTAAGTGGATCAGCCTATTGCCCCCCAACAATCTGGGTCCTCATTTTACCCAGCTCATAAGGATGGAAGGCTGAGTCAACCTTGAGCCTGGCGAGATTCGAACTGCCAAATTGTAGACAGCCAGCAGTCAGCAGAAGTAGCCTGCAGTACTGCACTCTGGTAACACTGCGCCACTGCAGCTCTTAACAACATCAGTGCTCTCCATTCTTGATGGCTGACAAATATAATGGCACAAAATTTGCCTCCCTTTTGCCTCTCTGGTTTTCCTTTCCAGTAACTACAACCATTTGACTTCCCTCCAGGACAATGGCTCACAGTGTCTTTCATGTGATTCCAACCCATCTACAAGGAACTGAAGGTGTAATAGAGGGCGGGGGGGGACGAAGAAATGCAACTATAAGGCAGGCAGAAGGAAGGAAGGAAGAAAGGAAGGAAGATCAACTAACTTTTCTATTTCATCTTAGATCAACTATGGAATCATCAGTCATGCTTCTGAGAATAAGTATCATTTTCCTTTCTCTTACTGGTTGGGTCCAAGACAAGAACCTCCTCACTTGGTCATTGTCGAGCTATTCCTCCATTTCCAATGGACCTGGATCTGCCTCCTTGCACCAGACAATGAAAATGGGGAAAAGTTCAGAAAGACATTTGTGCCTGCAGCCCTCAAGAAAGGAGTTTGCGTTGCCTTCTCAGAAAGCATCCTGGTGCTCAATTTTGAAAAGGAAAAAGGCCTGCTGTTATACTTGAGAAAGAGTAAAGTAAATGCAATTGTTTCTCAACTGAACTTGAGCACTGTAATGACACTGGCATTAATAATCAAAATCATGGACAGGAGAGAAAAATTAGCCATTGGGAAAGTGTGGGTTGTAACAGCCTTGTCAGATCTAAGTGTGAGATGGCTATACAGGATCGTTGATCTCCAGCACAAACATGCTTTTTTATCATTTGTAATCAAGACACAGACAGGAACCTCCTATGATCGTGCTGTTTCTGACTTCATTGCTTTTGAGATGTTTGCACGGTCAGCATTTCAGTGTTCCTATTCAAGCTCTGGGCTGTCGAGGAAGGTTTGGGAAAGATGCACAGAAAAAGAGAACCAGGGAATCCTATCCCCAGATGTAGTTGCAAAAATCTTGTCTGAGGATGCCTACAGTATTCGCAATGCAATTCAAGTGGTGTCTTGGACTCTCAGTGCTGCCTATACCTCTCAACTGGGCCAGAAGAGAAGGCAGGTTGGAGCCCACCCAGCACCCCAGCCATGGCAGGTAGGATTTTACCTTCCTTCAAATGCCACTGATGGCCCTCCTTCAATTCTTCAGTTCTCCACTGGTGGAGAGCTGGAAAAATGGGAAGAAGTATCTCGAACGAGACTTTCCCATCTCTAGTGTTTGTTCTGCAAGGTTTTAAGGAGAAGGAGCGATTTGTTGCTTTCCAAAGGGAACCGTTGTATGAGTCGATTGTGTAGGTTGGGTGTAGTAACAGCAAAGAGGGATGCCTCTATGTAAAGGAAGTTTTGTTATTCATTTGAGATTAAATCAGGACCAGGATGACACAGCAATCCTCAAATTGTTTCTTTGACCACTTAACCTCATTTTTTCTAGTGTGCAACCCAGAGACTTAATTATATCTTTGTGTTTTGGAGTAAGTTTTTCCCTCCATAGAAAGTTCCTGCCAAAGCAAGATGTAACAAAACCAGTACATCTTTCCAGCCTTTTGAGGGGCTACAGCATCAGGTAAAGCAGGGGTGTCAAACTTACATCATCACATTGTTGTCATGTATTATGACATTCCCCCCCTTCGCTAAATTGGGGGTGGGCCTGGCCAGCGTGTGATGCATTCAGCCAATATGTCACGAGTTTGAAACATCTGAGGTAAACTGTTTATCACTGAGGTCAGAACTGTGGGAATATGCTGTAGTTCCAGGGACATATAGTACCCATCATCAACTTTTTAAGACCACATCCCAAATTCCTTCCCTTTCTCTCTCCCTCTCCCTCTCCCCACTCTCTCTCCCCCTCTCCCTTTCTCTTCCTCCCTTCTTCTCCCCCCCCTTCTAAAACCAAATAGAACATTTAGTTATATAAGCTCAATCACTTATCCCTATCCACTTGCCTTTAAAAAAAAATATTTATACATTTTCTGTAGCTATCCATCTCAGCCAAGGGACCCTGAGTGACTTACAATTCTAAAATTATAAAACAGTTAAAACAATTATAAAGGAGCCATGGTGATGCAGTGCTTAGATTGCAGTATTACAGGCAAACTGACCACAGCCCGAAGTTCGATTTTGACTGGCTCAAGTTGACTCAGACTTCCATCTTTCCGAGGTCGATAAAATAAGGATCCAGATTGTTGGGGGGCAAAATGGCGATATTGTAAACCGCTCAGAGAATTCTGTAAAGTACTATGGAGAAGTATATAAGTCTAAGTGCTATTGTTATTGCTAAACAATAAAACAATATCGACAACCAAACATAAATGCGTATAACAGCCAAGATAGTTAATCAATTAACTAAAGGCAAAAAATGCATCCCTTAGCACAGGATGTTGTCTCCAATTTGGGTCTGATCCTGGTGCCGAAGCCAATGATAGATGCCAGACATGAGGTGCAGGTTTTCTGATTGCTTTTTATTGGAGTACTTCAAGGAAAAGGGCTCCTGGTCAAAATGCCAAGAGCCAAGAACAAAGGATTGAGTAAGTTTTATACATTTTCACTAAAGGAGAAGGTGGGACAAAGTGAGATAATAAGAAGTATCATCTAATAAACATTTTAGTAATAATTCTACAGATTTTTCTATTGGTCTCCAGCTGTTCCTATTCTCAAATCTTGGCTAATGTATGCCCTGGGAGTTAGCTAATACACATTTGATTTGCTGCAGGCCATCTCTTAAAAGTAAGTAAACCTGATTTTTAGCTGAGGTCTGCAAGTTGTCTAACTCATGTTATTTTTATCAGATTTCTTATGACCTTGCTTTATTTTAGCAGACAGCCCATCAGGGATGTCAAACTGGATTTCTTTGAGGGCCAGATCAGCATTGTAGTTCTCCTCTGCAGGCCGGCCAGGATGGATGCCTCTTGCAATACCCTGCCGACCAAAACAATAGAATGATCATTTGCTATTTACTTTGCTATTTCCAGGCTGGTCCTGCCGGCCAGATTTAAGGCCTTGAGTTTGACACCCCTGCCTTAGCCCATTCTAAGCCAAGGCCTGGATACAGAGCCAGGTTTTTAAAGCCTTATGAAAGTCTTGTACTTAGAATGTGCTAAGGGCTGCATGGATGTTGACCTATGAAAGGTCAAGAGAATGGGAGCTATTATAATCTGGGAGGGAAGAACATTCCATAATTCAAAGGCTACAGAAGACAAGGCCCATCTTGTAGTTCCTGCCAGTCAACACTCTTCATCTTATGGGCTCTTGCAGCATCCTAAATCTGATGGTCAGCAACTTTTGGAAAAAGACAGTCCACAGTAACCCATACCAAGCCATGTAGGTCTTTAAAGGTGCACCCAGCACCTTGCTTTGACCCAGGAACATGCTGGTAGTCAGTGCAAGTGGTTGCAACTTTAAGAAAGAAAATCTTTCTCCAATTACTTCACTGAGCAGGAATGGAGTGGATTTGGATTCAAGGCTATTCTCATCATTTCAGGACTCTGCCCATCAACTCAAGGAAATGCGTAAAATGAGTAGATTAGGCTTAAAGTGTGAGATTGGCCTAGCACAAGATTAGCAATGGTTTCAAGTAGCAGGAACAAACTGCACGATTTCCATTTCACTGACTTCACATGATGTGAGACAGAGATAGTGAAAGTTGGAGTTTTGAATAAATTAAGGTATAGTCTCAGAAATGATGAAGTCCTTAGTTCATACAAAAAATGTTTGTATTTTCATATTTACTCCTCTAGAAGTTCAGGTTCTCATGTACACTAAACTTATAAGTGACAAAAGGTGATCCATTCAAGTATTTCACAAGGCATATCTAGGCAAGATCTAGCTTTGGGGGAAGAAAGGAGACGTTTCCCTGAGTTGCTTTCCAGACAGAAGCACCGAGCTGAAGAAAATGAGATTTTCAGACCATCCCAAAGGTGCTTTTTCAAGAGGCAATTGGAATTCCTTGTTTTTCTTTGAAGATGTTTTGGTTCCCATCCCAGAAGCTTCTTCAGCTCTGACTGGATAGTGAAGAAGCTTCTTGGATGAGAAGTGAAATGTCTTCAAAGAAAAATAAGGAGGTCTGTGTTGCCACTTGAAAAATCACCTTTGGGATAACCATGACTTGGATGACTGAGAATCTCCATAAATATATTCAGACAATCCCAATTCATAATAATACAGGTACTTATCAACTTACAACCAGAATTAAGCCCAACATTTCAGTTACTAAGCAAGACAGCTAAATAAGTTATGCCCCATTTTTTTTACTTTTTACCACAATCATTAAGTGGATCACTGTAGTTGTTAAGTGAATCTGGCTTCCTCCATTGACTTTGCTTGCCAAAAGTGAGCTGGGAAAGTTACAAATGGTGATCACATGACCCCAGGACAGTGCAATGGTCATAAATTCATGCCAGTTGCCAAGAGCTCAAATGTTGACCACGTGTGACCATGGGGATGCTGCAATGGTCATAAGTGTGAATACCAGTCATATGTCAGTTTTTCAGCACCTTTGTACCTTTGAATGGACACTAAATTAATGATTGTAAGTCAAGGATTACCGGTAGTTAATAGAGAGGAATCCACCCCACTTTACATTGAGGGGGGCTGTGTGAAGAGAGTTTCCTCTGATAAATACCTAGGAGTCTACCTTGGTGAAGAACTCACCTGGAAAACCAACCCAACCCAGGTGGCCAGAAAGGCCCAACAGAGACTCCACTTCCTTAGGGTCTTGTGAAAAATAAAGTGGAACAATGACTGATGACCTCCTTTTACCAGTCCACAATAGGAAGCGTCCTCACATATTGCATTACAGTGTGGTATGCTTGGCTTGACAGCTGCAGGTAGAAAGACATTACGGAGGGTGGTGAGCACAGCACAAAACATTGTGGGTTGTTCCCTGATACTACTAGATGACCTTGCTAGGGCTCGCTGCCTTAGAAGAGTGAGGAAAATTCTCAGGGACGACTCACATCCCAGTCAGTACTTCTTCACTCTCTTACTATTGGGTAGAAAATATAGAAGCATAGCCAGCCGCACCAACAGGCTGAAGAACAGTTTCTACCCATGGGCTGTCAGACTCCTGAATGGAAAATAACTTCATGTCAACATAATCTGATAGACTTGTGGGGCTGGCATATTGTGTAACAAGGTCACATAGAGTAATAAGATTGGGACTGGGCTGAGGACTTCTGTCCTCACTGTGAGGTGTGTTGGGGGAGAGTGCACGAAGAGAGGCTCAGCCAATCTCATTGTGCACATGTTGTATTCTGACAATAAAGGTAATAATAATAGTTGAGAAAACAGTAAGTCAGGGCTCAGATTGGAATGTGTAAGTAACAGGTCTGGTTTCCTGTGCCATTACAGCTTCATCTGTTCCTGAAAAACTTCCAGGTTTCCAATTTTAGTGCAGATGGAGGCTATTTGGAGAAGGATGAAGATCCTGCTGCTGGATTTGATATCATTCAGTGGGCTGTGTTTCCCAACAAATCTACTTCTGGGGTGAAAGTTGGAAGTGTAGAAAATGAGGCCTCCTCAGAAGTCAAGGTCTCCGTTGATCAAAGTGCCATTCTGTGGCCAACATCATTTAATAAGGTACTTGATAGTGTTTGGTTTGGTTTTCATTATTTAGATGTACATCTTGTGCACATCTGCTTAAAAAATAAATCCCACTGAATTCAATGGGGCTTAGCTGTCCTTAATGCATTTTAAAGTTTCATTCTTGCACTAGACGTTGCATAGAATTATATGTTCTTAGATACTGTGAAGAACACCAGCCGTGAAATCTATGTAAGCTAAGACAGGAAGCACAATAAAGCTGGGAAGGGTGGCCTCTTACTACACCAAATACACAGAAAGGTATTCATAATGGTCTAGTTTAGCAACACTATAGAGGCATTTTTGCATTGTCAGTTATTTATTAAGCAAAACAAACATTTCTACATTAGGATTAGATTTATTCTCAGAGAGGGAGAGAGAGGGAGAGAGGAGGGAGAGGGAGGGGGAGAGAGAAGGGGAGAGAGGAGAGAGAGAGGAGGGAGAGAGAGAAGGAAGGAGTGAGGGAGAGAGAGAAGGAAGGAGAGAGGGAAAGGGAGAGAGAGGAGAGAGGGGAGGGAGAGGGAGAGAGAATGAAGGAGAAAGGGATAGACAGGGAGAGGAGGGAGAGGAGGGAGAGAGAGAGGAGGGAGAGGGAGAGAGAAGGGTGAGAGAGAGGAGGGAGAGGGAGAGAGAGAGAAGGAAGCAGAGAGGGGGAGAGAGAAGGAAGGAGAGAGGGAAAGAGAGAGAGAAAGGGAGAGAGAGAGAGATTTTTAAATGAGAGCCAGTTTGGTGTAAGCTAATAAGTGGAAGAATTCCAGCCCTATTTGGGCACAAAGCCAGTTTAATGACCTTGGATCAATTGATCTCTCTTACTCCTAGAAAAGAGGGAAGAGCAAACTACTTCCAAAATCTTATCAAGAAAACTTCAGGGATGTTTTTCCAGGCTGACTCTGAGAATTGAACACAGTTCGGTGAAACTTGATGAACTGTCATTCTCTCTTGAATTTTAAGAGGACTATTGGGAAAAAATCCTGCTGGAGTGGAACTCCTTCTGAAGATCTTTCAGAAAAAGAATATGATGTTGAAAATGAGTTTCTGAAAAAAATTATTCACATTAAACTTAGAAATAAGTTTGAAGTATATTCTTGAGTTTTATGACAGGGCATAACTGGCATATAGGGTCAAGAGGTTTGGCAAGTATAGATTCTTTACCACTTTGGATTAAGAAGAAGTCAAGAATCAGCTGGAATAGTTTCTCCTCTGCTCCACCCCAAATCCTGCTGCCAGAAAGGATCCTAGGATCTCAGGGGGTAAATTCATTAGTGATTAGGCTCAATGATTTTATTGTGAGTTCAGTTTAACCCAGGGTGAGAACCCACTCTGTGATTCAGATGACATATTAACTGAGTTGGAAGGGAATTTGTAGGTCACCTAGTCCAATCCCCCCACCTAGGGTTGTCTCAATTTCACTGAGGGCTGCATTAGGGTTGTGTTTGACCTCGGGGGGGGCATGCCAGGGTGGGCTTGACCAGCTTGATGTCACTCATGTCAGGGGCACCTGTAGTAGCCTGAGAGATCTGCCCGTGAAAATGGGTGTACGACCTCTGTTTTTAGCTGCGAGGCCACCTGCAACCCTCTCCCAGTGAAAACATGGCCCTCCCAAGCTCCATTTTCATTGACAGGTACCACAGGCTGGTCCTTTGCTGTTTCCAAGGTGGCCCTGTGGGCCAAATCTAAGCACTCCACAGGCCAGATCCAGCCCCTGGGCCTTGAGTTTGACACCTCTGCCCTACACCACTTCTGACAAATGGCAGTCCAATCTCTTCTTGAAAGTCTCAAGTGATGAAGCTCTCACAACTTCCGAAGGCAACTTCTGTTCCATTGGTTGATTGATCTCACTTTTCATTGCCATTCATAAAAATAACCCTCTAATTCACTCTTCACTTTTACATTTAGAAGTTCCCTTTGTCTAGATGTACTGAAAGTTGTCATCCAGGATACACCAAGCTCACCAGAGAGGGAGCACCAATTTGCTGCTATGACTGTTCTCATTGTGTAGAAGGAACAATTTCCATGCAAGAAGGTAGGTGGCTTTGGAGCAAACCATAAAACTATTCTACAGAATTCCTGAGGTTGTCTAGAACCTTCAGTATGGAGGTTATGTGTGCCTTCTCTGGTGGGGCAAATATTTTTAGCCATAGATCATGATTTACTTTTAACTGACAAGCTTAGGGATACAGTTCAAAAAGAATGTTCAGCAAGGTCAAAAGTAAAGTTTCAACTTCAATCCAATTAAAAATAATGAATACAACTATTTCCCTTTGCATTTGATAACTTCCTTCTTATGCCAAGTTAAAAAGAGTTTGATTATTAATTTAGAAGCAGTCTAAAAGAGAGGCTCCTAAACCAGAGACAGGGACTTTCCAATAGTGGTGAATTATCTATAGATTGGGTGTAAGATGAGGGTAAAGGCTCATTCTCCGAGCTTGTGGGTTGGTTTCTAAATGTTTCATTACCAAGCTAGATAACATTTTCAGGTAACAGGGAGTTTCGTTGGGAAGACCAAGGCTTTACTTTGGGTGAACTTTCAAACATGCAGACTGGAGAGCTTTTGTTTCACTGATCAAATTGAGCTCTATATGTCCTTCAGAGAGATTTTTCAGAACCTGCAGAGTTCCAAATTAGCAACACTTTTCAAATAATTAAAAGTAGTACCTTTTTACAGGCTGTTGTAATTGCAACAATCTGGGATTGTTGTTTACATGATCCCCCAAAAGGTAGTTAGTCTGATGCCTTGATAATTCTACTATGATGGCTCTCAGTGTTATCAATCAAGAAGCACAAGAGGTGATGAATGAAAAACACCGTAACAGTAAATATTGACCCTCACCAGACTACTATTTACTCTGCTTGGCAGAGACCTATTAAAATATCATTGAAAGACTGTTCTGATAATTCCTTTTGAACTGTTTGTGGATGATGCTGGAATTTCCTGTATGCAAAACATGGTCTATGACACCAGCCTTGCAAGAATCCCTGATAGATCAGATCAAAATCTCCTCTGGGCAAACATACTGGTTTCCATAATGAACAGCTGGTTACTTCAGCTAAGATTAAGAAACAATGATCTTTTTTTTCTGGCATATCAGTTGCACCACTCTGCATTTGAATCTGAAGTTTCTATAGAATCTGCTCATTATTACACAGCAACATTTGATTCTGTTCAGGCACAATTAAATGTTGCTTGCATGTATTCCCTTTACAATGTTCTCCTTCCAAAACAGGTTTATGTTATATGGGTGAGACTGTCGAATTTATATGTACAGACAATTAGGAGTATAAAGTATCTGCTAATTAATCAAAACATTGCTTCTGCTTTTCAGATGCTGCTCATTGCAAAAGGTGTCCAGATGATCAGTATTCCAATAAGAAGCGAGACCAGTGTGATCCCAAAGTTATAAGTTTCTTGTCCTATGAAGAAACCTTAGGTCTAATCTTGTCTATTTCTGCCTTTATTTTGTCTCTAACCACTGGTTTTGTTCTATACATTTTTATTAAATACCGGGAAACTCCCATAGTCAAAGCCAACAACCGGGATCTCACCTATATTCTTCTGGTCTTTCTCCTCCTTTCCTTCTTGGCCTCCTTCCTGTTTATTGGTCATCCCCAAAAAATAACCTGCCTTCTTCGGCAAACCATTTTTAGTATTGTTTTCTCAGTTGCTGTATCTTCCTTGTTGGCCAAGACTATAATGGTGGTGGCAGCATTTTTAGCTACAAAGCCAGGCAGCAGGATGAGGAAATGGCTGGGGAAGCGTCTGGCCAACTCCATTGTCTTATTTTGCTCAGGGGTTCAGATAGGAATCTGCATCATATGGCTTGGACTTGCTCCCCCATTCCCAGATGTTGACATGCATTCTCAACCAGGACAGATCCTGATACAATGTAACGAAGGCTCAGTTGCCATGTTCTACTCTGCCCTTGGCTATATGGGATTTCTGGCTGTTGTCTGCTTCTTGGTGGCTTTCCTGGCCCGCAAGCTGCCAGGGACTTTCAATGAAGCTAAACTGATTACCTTCAGCATGCTGATTTTTTGCAGTGTCTGGATCTCCTTTGTCCCCACCTACCTGAGCACAAAAGGAAAATACATGGTGGCTGTGCAGATCTTCTCCATCCAGACCTCCAGCCTGGGTTTACTGGGCTGCATCTTTGTCCCCAAATGTTACATCATTGTCCTGAAACCTCACATGAACATGAAGGAGCATCTCATGATGAAAAAAAATGAGGGAGGCTGAATTTGATACTTATTTTTTATGGAGTATGCACAATTCAAAACATATCTTAAAAATAACTTTATTATAGCCATTAGTTACTTCAACTTTTTGATTATAATAAAGAATTAAAGATGCCTTGTCCAGGTGTGCATCTTTTTAAAAAAAACATAGAAAGTCCAGAATTGAATTCATTTTTTTTAAGGATTGGAATGAGTGAGCAACCAAGTCTCCTACATCTTCTTTCCATGTCCACTGCAATGTATTCTCCACTTGTTCCTTGATGCTGCTCTTGTTGCCAAACTTCAATTTTCCCATATCCCTCCCATTCTTCTTCTTTCATGTCAGAACACCAAAGTAGTACCCATTTATCTACTCAGGATTATCTGGCAGGAGCTGGAGTGTGTGACAGGAGCTCACCCTGCCCTGCAGCAACAACAGGTCTCGAACATGAGCCTGCTGGTTGTCAGCCCAGCATTCTAAGCTTGTGAACCACCATGCTTCTATATCTCTCTCATGAGCCATTAGATTTCTCAACATTCTCCACATCTGCCTCCCTATCAATTTTCCTACCACCATCCCTATTCACAACCCTAAGCCCCATTGATATTTCCTTCTCCTTTTCTGTCCCTCCAACTTCCCAATTGCTTCACAGTTTCATAACCCAGAATCAAGGTTCCCGTTGTTATTGTTCATATGGTTATTTTTGTTATAGAGGATAAGAAAGGATATGGATATGGATTTTTTAAAAAATTGCAATATAAATGGGGATATTTGGTGAGTAATGTATATGACTGTTTTTGAGGGTTGTGTCTGTATAAATGTGTTTGGGTAGAATATGAAGATGTTGGATCAAGAAGACCCATATACAAGTTCCTGTATATCTAATAGTTTGCTAATTACATTAGGCTACCTACCACATGGAATATGTTGTTTATGTGTCCCTAATAGTTACAAGGCTAGAGGCAAAAGCTATCAATAGTTCATAATTAAAATGGTATCTTCTTTTTCCTTCTTGGATGCCCTTGTAGTCAAAGAAGTTACTTCACAGAAGTTCAGAGTCAGAGAGGACCATGCAGACATTATCAGTGGTGGCATTCAGCCAGTTTGCACCAGTTTGGGTGGACTAGTAGTGACGATTTGGCATCAGTCGCTGAACTGGTAGTGACTTCTGGCTGGCCACACACTTGACCCAGTTGCCAGGTCACTGCTCACTCGCTTGCCCTGCCAACCCAAATCCAATGCTTGCTCACCGCACCCAATGCTCGCCCAGCCCAGTCATTCCTCATCTCCTATGCGGCACACTGGGTCTTCATGGCTTGCCTTTAACCTGCCTTACCACATGGTACCTGCGTCCCAGCTGAGCAGCCCTGATCTGCCTGCTCACAGGTAAACCTGCAAGTCATGCTAGCCCCCCCCATTCCCGGATCTTCCCAGCTCCCCCCAACTGTTCTCAAATCTTCCTGCCCACCCCCACCATTCCCAGATCTTCCCACCAACACTCCACCATTCCTGGATCTTCCCAGGCTCCCCCAACACTCCCAGATCTTCCTGGGCCCCCCACCATCCCCAGAGCTTCCCAAGGGCTGCCTTCACCATCCCCAGACTCTTACCGGTAGTAAAAAATTTTGAATCCCACCACTGGACATTATGGAGCTGAACAAATGTAATTGCATAGTGCAGATGCCCAAATCCACATCCCAGATAGTTGGTTGGCATCCAATGATCCAATGAAAAGAAGGCCATCATCCTTCAAGGCTCTTGAGTTTTATCTGTTTCTCTCTCTCTCTCTCTGTGTGTGTACATAGAAACACACAGAGAGAAAGAGAGACATTTTGCACAATCCAATCTGGGTCAATCACCAGGATCAGAGTTTTAGTCTTCTGAACTTTGGGACTCATGCTGCAGCTCATCCTCAGGGAACTATTCTTTCATAAGAATGTGTAACACATTGTGATGAGAGAGAAGTTCCTTGATGATGGACTCCAGCACGAGTCAAAAGCTCGAAAGACTAAAACTTTGATCTCGATGACTGACTTAGATTGGATCTAGGTCATAAGTATATTTGGGGGGGGTCTGTTGCAACTTCAGACAGTCACTAAGTGACTGGTCTTAAGTCAAAGTCTACTTGTAGATCTCTTATTTTAACCTTCATCAAATAAATCAGCTTTATATTCCTTCCTTTTGTTGATGGCAATCTTAATTTTTAATTCATTCAAATTTTATCTAGGATTTTATCACTTCTTTGTACCAACATCAAAGTTTTCACTGAATCCAGAAGGGGCGACAACAATTGTCCCAATGTAGCATAGATCGTATAGAGAATATTGATCAAAGAAAATTTGAGCATGCATACATATTAGCAGAATATCTCAAATAGGGAAAAACATATTTTCTATCACATGAGGAAACAAGATAGTTGCACAGGGAAATATGACATCCTTCGTGGTATGATTTAGTTTGCACTTATTTCTAGAAACAGAACACATTTAATATGTAAGTTTATTAATGCCCCTAATGGTTGTTGTAATAGAATAACCTGTGTTTACAGCAGTAACTGATAAGGAGCCTTGGTAATGTAAATCTTGAAGTTCAAAGATTTGAAGTCTTTTGTGAATTAGTCAGTTATAATCATAACAATAAAAACTAAATTCTTGATGGAAGAAGGTGGAGCCTCCTCACTGACGGACTGTAGATCATGACTCTCTGCGGCTATGGTGCCTGCTCTTTCATTGGAGAGCCCGATCATTACAATTAGGGGCTGAAGCTGCCTTGGAGGGGTGGTGGAGTAAGGGGAAGCCACAAGCCAGGTTGAGGGGAGCTGCATCTCCCCTCCTGGGCTTGGTCTTTTTCCCCCCAAAGACGACTGCAGTGGTAGTTTAAAATGGCCACCCTGAAAAGGGGGACTCAGCTGGATTACGATTTGTGCAGGAGGGAAGAAAGATGGATAACATCTGAACCGGGACAATTGGGCGATACAACTAAACCAAAGTACCCCGGGATTAAGGTAACATGGAATTTTTAAGAAAAGAAAAGTGAGCGGCAAAATTACAAAGGGATAGGAAAAAAATAAGAAAATATTTTTGACAGCTAAGCGGGGCTTCGAACCGGGGAAGGAAGAAGCCGGAACTAAAGATTTAACTAAATTGGACTAAAATATTTTGGCAATAAACAGGCATAAAATAAAGCTGGACTTAAGATTGTCAAAAAATAATAATAATAAAGTTTACAAATTGGAGACTGGACTGTGCTGGAATATTGAGGTTTGAAAAACCCTAAATAAAAAAATAGGGGAAAAAGGTGAACACTTTGTATAATGGAGAGTGCCACCTTTTGACAAAAACTTGAGCTCAAACAAAAGGGAAAGCATCCTGTTTCTGAATGAACTTGTGTGGATATAACATTAAAGAAATATTGAAACAAAGTAAGACTCTTAGAAAGTGAAAGCAGAACCAGAATAAAGAAAAAAGCAAGGAAAGACTGACTGTGGGATTGATTGATGTTTTTGGTATAGAATAATTGAGAACTTTAGAAAATTGAAAGAAGAAAGAAGGAAAGTGTTTGTGTGTGTGTGTGTGTGTGTGTGTGTGTGTGGACTTTAACGATCATAAAATACAAGAGTGTGCAATGATGATATCTCTTCGGGAATTAAAAATGGAACTTAAAAATATGAATTACTACAGGAAAGAGGCAAATCACTTTGTTCTGTGTTAGAAAAAATGGAAATGGCAATTGAAGAACAAGAAGAAAGAGCTTCAGAGGAGGAGGAGTTGACTCAAGGAGAAGACATCTTAATAACAATTAACACAAAGAAAGCTACAAAGAAGTGGGGAAAGAAAGAAGGTTAAAAAGTTGAGACTTAAGAAGGCAATCAAAAGGGGGAATACCTGTGAAGTTGGGAAAGACAGAAAGACCCAGAAGAAAAGGGGAAAGGAAGATATTAAGAAAGAGAGGGATATAAACTGGAATGAGAAAAGATATGGAGAAAAGAGGGGGAGGAGAAGCAGTAAGAAACAGGTGCATGAAATAAAGAAATACAGAAATAGTAAAATGTTGAAAAGAAATGTTTTTTTTCAGAGATAATGGTTGATGAATTAAAAAGGGGATTCTGCAGGGTGACAAGGGGTAATAAGAATATTTCTGCAATTAAAAATATTTAGAAAATAGGGTAATATAGATACTGATAACTCTTATTAAAAATTAAGGGGGAAAATATGCTGCGGAATCCAAATGAAAAGATGTAATGATTATTATTGTAACTTCTTAAAAATAATGGTTTATTGGGAATCAAGATGAGGGAATAAAGGTATATTTTAACCATTGAGGTGTCACACTCAAAGCAGTAAAAGGGGAAACTTATACTTGTTTTTTTTCTTTAGTGTTAAAACTTGTATTAATTTAGAATTTATAAAAAGAATGTGTAATGGAAGGGGGATTTGACAGACTAAAGAACCAACTAAATTAATAAGTTAATATGGACTATTAAAAGCAAGGAGAGACATTGGCAAACTTTTTTATTATTATTATCATTATTATTAGGCAAACACATATTGTTTATCTTTATTTTTAAAATAAATATTAAAGGATTATATTTGAAATAATTGAAATGAAACAAAAAGATGTTCAGTTGAGATTAATTGAAAGAGGCTAGAATTAATGTGTTTGTTTCTCTCCTTACTGAAAATTTGGAATGAAAAAGGTAATAATAGAATTGTATGCATATATGAATGTATAATTGCTGTCATATTTGTATGTAAAGGTGATGACCCAGAAATATGTTGTCCACTAAAAAGAGATTTTTGTTTTTATGTGAAAAACTGAATAAAATTTGTTAAGAAAAGTAAAAATAAAAACTAAATTCTTAATAATGTTAAGTAAATCTATAATGTTACACTGTTATACTCTATGATTAATTATGCAAATTGATTCAATTTGATTTATTTATTCATTGATTATTTTAACCATTTAGGACAGTTTCATAATTACACTAGTAATTATTACACTAGTTTTCATGTTCATTTAAT